GTAATTTCGTCAATGCTGTACCATATATTTAGACTTGATGGGGCGTGTGAGGAGGCTGAGGATATACTAAACGTAGATTTGTATGGATAATATTAAATAAATTCTTTATTGCTTGTATTTTTATATCCCCTGGTATGCGTGTTCTCTTTCAAAAAGCTTAATGAAGACAAAGAGTGCAAACATAACGGCACAGTACACTGTTGGCTATACCAAACATATTTTTACAAGAATTCTCTCAAGTCTAAGTGAGTACGTTGGCTTCAATAACCCTTATTGTTATTAATATATATAACTGAATTATATATAGAATTGAAGAAATTATATCCGTATCAAGGATCTTCAGACTTTTGTCCGTTGAATGTGGGGAGAAAATCCGAACAGATCACATAAGTATACCGAATGCACTGTAATGATGTCGATGAACCAAGGCAAAGAAACATACGACTTATATCCTGCAACGACAAGGCAGGCAACTCTAGACGACACATACCCCAGGTAACATTACCTCCTACAGCAAAGATCAACCGGGAGTCTTTGTCTTAAACATCTCCACAACTCCAGGTGCTATGGTTTGTGGGCATCAGTGATTTCTTACCAATTTACGATGCGGTCGGGGGTAGCCTAGTTGTTAAAGTGTTCGCCCGTCACGCCGAAGTTCGGGGTTCGATTCCTCACATGATTACATTGTGTGAAACCCATCTCTGGTGTTACCCGCCGCCATATTGCCAGAATATTGCTACAAACGGCGTAAAACCATACTCACTCACTCGTAGCAATTTACAATCATTTACATAACATCGGGTAACCTTATTTTCATGTAACAACACCGGGTGTCTAGATTCCGGATGTGTTTCAACGTCGATGGTTCATGCTCAGGGCCGCATCGATGATGTTCTATTTCGACGTTAATGTTTCATGACACCCGGGAAGCTGGTAGGTTAAGTGAACGATACAGAACGCCTTAATGCGACGGAGGCCGCGTCCCTACGGAGCGAGGCCTTATCTATAGCCTGGAATCGATACGGACAACGTTTTTCCAAACAGGCAAATGGTCGTATTTCCGGTTTTGTGTGGACGCATGATTGTACTCACATTGTTGGGCCTGTGTATGAACGTGTAGTTTCACTCGGTACTTTTCGTCAGTGATCGTTATTGATCCACAACACGTGTTCTGGCAGGTTCCATTGTAATATGGGTCACAGATACCCAGGGAGGGAGTGTTTTCATCAAGCTCTAGGGTATTCGCTAGGGTAGTACTCGTGAGCTTGATCATTTGATGATTCGCATCTTTCTAAACATTGTTAACTAGTGATGAATATTTGCTAGCAAAAGATTATGGATTAGACAGAAATCAGGATAAGTAGGTTTGAACGTTAATCCAAGTTTGATATTGATATGTGTTTATTTCGTAATATGCAGATATTGTGGTACAGATATTTGTTGTATACAGAGAGCTTGAAATGATGGCTTACAATTATAATAAATGTATTTATACACGAATAACAGCTTATACAAAATAGGTGCATAAGAAATGTTTATCTAAGAGGGACATCTTTAAAGAACAATTGTCTCTTCTTGGTTGCTAAAGAAAAATTACAGAGATTTCTTGACATTACACCTTTTGAGAGAAACAGTGCTGGCATCTTGTCAAAGGTATCCAAGTTTGATATTAAACACATACAATGCTGCAGTGATTTAGTACTTGCAGTCATCATGACCGCATATCACGTTCGTAGGACTACCCCAGAGTAGGGCCGTTAAGACGATTGAGAATGTCGACTTCACTTATTTGACAAAGCACCGTTGCCATGCATAACTCAATAGTTTCACACACAGTACATCACGGCTGGGGATTTGGGAGATGACATCGCCATCCTCGGAGAATCACAGCATCTGAGCTACAACCTCTACCGTCGATGAAGAGTTCAAGCAGAGTAATATTATTTCGTATAGAAGCCACAAAAATCCAACACGTAGGTGAACGGCGGTGCATTTTCAAAGTATCTTATTTAATCAATCATATCTCTAAAACAATGGACACACGGTTTGGTTAAAGAACACAGAGCGAATATGCAGGAAATATATGTAGGAGCACTGTACAATCTCAACATGAGTGAATTGAACACTGAATTGAAGCGAAAAATGTCCAATAGTCAAAAGGCGTTGTTTATTACATTTATGATTCTGCCACCGGTGGGTTGGGAGAAGCTCACCTTGTCGTGCACACCTTAAAGCTTGAATCAACCCTCTTGCTATGATAATCCATAAACCCATAGTCATGATGTAGTCGGTATGCTACTATCAACTCTGATATTAGCAATTATTTTTTATAGATGTGGAAATAGTTTTGTTGCTTATAGTTACATGATGTTTCCAGGGATATTGGATTTCTCTTGACTGTGATGTTCTGATCTTCCCTATTAAATGGACGGTACCACCAACCTCAAGCACTACTGTTTCCAGTATTGTGGATGTCATGTGTTATTCTTAATAAAAGAAATCAGTCGTTTACAATGTAAAATTATATCCAACTTTCTACATATTATTCAGTAAGTCCCGTGAAGATCCGGGTTAGAATTGATCTTCAGTAACCCATGCTTGTCGTAAGAGGCGACTAATCGGGTCGGGTGGTCAGGCTAGCTGACTTGCTTGACACATGTCATTGGTTCCCAATTGCTCATGCTGTTGATCACTGGATTGTCTGGTCAAGAATCGATTATTTACAGACCGCCGCCATATAGCTGGAATATTGCTGAGTGTGGCGTAAAACTAAACTCACCCACTCACTTCTACAGTAAGCTACGGTTATAACGTACTGTTGTTTTTTCTTTGTTTTTTTTCTTTGGTCCCGGCCACTTGCTGCAGTTTAGTCGAATTAAAATGAACTACGGTCAAACCAAACTAAACTTCGTTACAATCGTAGTTTACTGCATTTTGTAACAATGGCTTTCATCAGAACAGACACAAAAACCTTGTTTTGTTGAATACTTCATTAGGAAACACTTGAGTCTATTCTTGAATATTACTCAACGTGAAACCGTTCGTTCGTATGTGTTGACAAACTGAATTCCACTATGACGGTACGGACGGTGCTAGCGTAAAGGGGCTTCTGTTTATATTGATTGTCGTGCGATGATATTTATATAACCTGACATTGTGACAATGCTGGTGAATACATGTAGCTCTTGTTTGCAAGAACACAGTCTACTGGGACCTTTGATTTACACGCTGCGGCATATTTTATTCATGGAATCAGGAATTCTTCGTTGTGTCAAGAGTGTTGAAATGATTTCAACAGGGTCATGGAATATAGTGATCGCGGTACGGAAGACCTTTGATTTTTTAAAACAAAATTATTGCGGTAACAAGGCTCAAAGTGCATTATAAACAACCCCAGAATGAAACTCTTAGAACTGCGTGCTAGTTGGTGATTATTCTTTGTCATTTGCTCCACATACTCCCAGTAAGTAGATATAACACCTCCTGGCATTGTGTGACATTTACATGATCAGTTGTGAATAATATATGTTTTATTTATGAATCCAATATAGGAGTATACATATATATTTAATAAACAGGTGGGAGAGGATCACTATATTGACATTTTAAGAAACTGCGTAAGATAGAACAGCACAGTTGTTGTGTTTTTGTTTTGTTTATTAATGAATGTGTATGTTTGTCATTTGTGATAATGGGTACACAAAGAAACGTAAGAGTCAGACTCAAGGTTGTTAGGATTTGTTTATCCCCGACATTTCCTGGTCATATACTTAAATGTCAACATTCCCGATACGAACGGTGAGGTGAGGTGAAATTGGGTTTAACGTCGTGCTTGAGAATATTTCGCTCATATGACGACGTGCATGCGTGTGTATGTGTATGTGCGGCTGCTTGTACTAGCCCAGACTGAAGCTGGTTTTATAGTGCTATCCCACTGAGATACCATGCCGCAGTGAAGCATGAATACCCCACTCAGATACATTATACAGACTCCGAGCCGACCAGTCCTTGTTGTACCCATTAATGCCAAGCGCCAGGCAGGGACCAACAAGTACCATATTCTAACGTCATTTGGTATGACGCGTTCGGGGATCGAACCCGCGACCTTCCGCTCTCCGGGCGGACGCTCTAACCAGTACACCACGGAGGCGGTCCGATATGAACGGTATTAAAACATATCCGACTTACCATATTATACTGCGGAATGAACTATACGCAAAGGACAAAATAATGGTTCTTCATACAGAAATATGTCAATTATTTTTGGTCATTCGTCTTGAGCCGGTGATATTTTTTTGTTTTATGAAGGCAATACAGAAGTGCCTCGTGTGTTCACAACCTTGTTATGGCGTCAAGTTTTGAAAACAATCACTTAACCCCTTAGACGGATTCGTTCGGGGACAGTCGCCGTGTGTTGGCACCAGTGGACGCGTCAATAGGGAGACGACGTGGACACTCACATGATAAGCCGATACGAATAGATAGAATTTATCGAACGTAGAGCGCATCGGCAGTTGCCTCCTTAGCGTTACTATTGTTGTCAATGATAGCCAAGCGTGATGGCTTCGAGAAATACCGCCACTCATTGTCCACGACTGGCGGAGCTTTGCTCAACGATATCGCTTCAAATGGATTTCATTTTCCATTTGTGACAGGCATCTTTCTACTTGACTTGGTCGCTTGTGCCCAGAAGCTCATGGTCCGCTTTTACACCTTGAATCCCCAGCAATAAGCCCGGTAGCCATATTGTCATATTAATATCTGTAACAGAATCCACTAGCACATTCCTCCAACTAATAACTCGTTCAACGCCTGATGACATTGGCTAATATCAAGAGGTGAAACATTCAATTCGATTCACACATATATACCCAGTATGGCTGAAACGGCGAACGCGGTCTGAAATGAATGAAGTTAAATATTTAATCAATGTGCTATATTTGCATTCGGCAGTGTTGAGTTCCAACTGAATCGCTTCACGAGGAGGATTTGAGTATCATTTACTCTCGCATGCAAAACCGTCCTTCTGTTTTCTGTAAACCAATCAGCCTCTCCACAAACACTGGCTAATTACAAGTTAATGATGTGGCGAGTGCACTACCTTCTCGGCGGAAAAACAAGAAATGTCCCGTAATGCTCGTGTATCGATCTATTATTTCGCCTACAAAAGACATTAACATTTGAATGTTCATTTACATAGTCCTCATGCGTATTTCCAGCGTGGATGATGGCGAATTATACCTACAGATGCTACAAAGCTTGAAAACTGCAACTCTGGACAACCTTTGACCTTTGTGACGTCACCACATCGTGTTCATCAGTTTATACATGCTTTTTCCGCGGAAGGCCCACCGCTTGAGAAGGAAGCTAGCGCGGGAAATATCTCGGTTGGTCTTGGCACGGGGATCTCTCCCTTTGGATCGGCATTCGGTTTCATATAGCTTGGGTTGGCGTGTCGCCGCTTCACACGGGTTTACTCGCCTGCTTCTGTTAGCTGTGTCGTGCACGCGCACATTGTCGTCTGCTTGGAACGTTTGTTTTACCAGACGACAGAATGGATTTCCCTGAAGAGTCAGCTAAAGTGAACACTCACGTAAGTGTATCGCCCCAGCCCGAAGAAACAACCGGACTTTTGGGAAACGTGAAAAGATGCGGTATGAGATGCTTAAAGGGCTCCAAGGAAAATTTACTTTTAATTTTGCTACTGTGTTCTGTGCTCCTTGGAGTTGCTATCGGGTTTGCAGTTCGAAGTGCAAGAACCGATTTCACGAAAAGAGAAGTAATGTACCTGATGTTCCCTGGTGAGATTTTGATGCGGATGTTACGAATGTTGATTCTGCCGCTTATCATGTCCAGTTTGATTGCTGGAATTGCTGGATTGGACGCCAAAACTTGCGGCAAAATGGGTCTTCGTACCATTGCATATTTCGCTACAACAACCGTCGTATCCGTTATTATGGGTATTATAATGGCCATTGCTATTAGACCTGGAGGCGGGGCCAATAGAGCAAAACTTAAGAGGTATGGTACCGCCGCCAAAGTCAACTCTGTCGACACCTTCTTGGACCTCATAAGGTAAGATTCGTTCATTTTTTGTAAGTTTACATTTAGTTGTATTCATTCTTTAATAGTTCTGTTTACTCTAAATCCATCGACACCTTGATCACAATGTATTTACGTGAAACAATTACGACTGAACACCTCTTTTGTTGTAATCACAACATGTATCTTTGAACAGACAAAGGAATTATACGTGTATTTGTGAGACCCTCAACTAAGTGTTTTTTACCGGACGCTTCACTCTTCCAATCTGATATAAATTTGATATACTTATTCATTGTTTCTTTTTAAAATTTATCAATTTACTTTTTATTCATACAGTATGAACTGGTCTTTGTTGACACACATACAGACTGAATTTTCGACGGATAATTTGTATAATTAGTCTGAATCTTGTTAGTACATTCTGAAATATATAATTTTTAATGATCAATCTGTATTTTCTGAATAAATAATAGTGCTAGTGATTCTCTGTTGCATCCAACTGCACGATTGCAATTTCCTCGTATTGTCTGAACAACAATTTGATATTACTGCTTCAGTCTGTCAGTTATTCAGTCTAAGTATTCAATTTGAGAAGCTTACTGGATATTAAATAATTCATAATGCACATATAGCAATCTATTCAGCCATTTATTTTTTTTGTTGGTTGTCAATTCATGCATACAGTCCGATAAGGAATTATTTTAAATGTTTGAAATTTCAAACTTAGGCCTGAATGTCGTGTGTCCTGTATAACTGTAAAATACTTGGTTCAGTTTGATAATACAGTCTGAATGTCGCGTTGTTAGTCTGATCACTGGTTATATCAACCTGAAAGAGGTTCTCTGATGGTATGCAATCTGAATGGCCATACGTTCAGTCTGACTATCGGTTCATACAATCTGGATGACAAATAGTATTGGTTCATACAATCTAAATGGTCATACGTTCAGTCTGACTATTGGTCCATACAATCTAAATGGTCATACGTTCAGTCTGACTATTGGTTCATACAATCTGAATGGCCATACGTTCAGTCCGACTATCGGTTCATAAAATCTGGATGAGAATTAGTATTGGTTCATACAATCTAAATGGTCATACGTTCAGTCTGACTATTGGTTCATCCAATCTAAATTGTCATACGTTCAGTCTGACTATTGGTTCGTACAATCTAAATGGTCATACGTTCAGTATGACTATTGGTTCATACAATCTAAATGGTCATACGTTCAGTCTGACTATCGGTTCATACAATCTAAATGGTCATACGTTCAGTCTGACTATTGGTTCATACAATCTGAATGGCCATACCTTCAGTCCGACTATCGGTTCATACAATCTGGATGAGAATTAGTATTGGTTCATACAATCTAAATGGTCATACGTTCAGTCTGACTATTGGTTCATCCAATCTAAATTGTCATACGTTCAGTCTGACTATTGGTTCGTACAATCTAAATGGTCATACGTTCAGTATGACTATTGGTTCATACAATCTAAATGGTCATACGTTCAGTCTGACTATCGGTTCATACAATATAAATGGTCATACGTTCAGTCTGACTATCGGTTCATACAATCTGGATGAAAATTAGTATTGGTTCATACATTGTGAATGACATTGGTTCAAACAATCTGAATGACACTTAAGTCTGACTATTGGTTCATACAATCTGAATGGCAATTAGTATTGGTTCATACATTCTGAATGACAATTAGTTCAGTCAGATTATTGGTTCATACAACCTGAATGACACTTAGTTCAGTCTGACTATTGGTTCGTACAATCTGAATGACACCTAGTTCAGTTTGTCTATTGGTTCAGAAAAAGTATGAATGACAATTAGTTCAGACCATATGAATGACCATTAGTTCAGTCTGAATATTCGTTCACACTCTCTGAGTGACAGCTGGTTCAGTCTGACTGAATAAGGAGGCACCGAATTTCTCCGTAGCTCACTCCGCGACCAGTATACGATGCTTTTGTGGAACCTAAGGCTTTCCTTAATCATGAGACGTTATGCAAGGATGAAGACATGGCATAAAATTTAAGGTCATTCTTTACACATGTTCGTTATCTTCTGTCATTTGAGACTTCATGGAGCTGAATATAATATTTATTCCCAATATGGCTACACTACAATCCCTACGTCATAAATTCATGTGTGACGTCAACATTCAATCAATATATGAACATCAATATTTTAGGCTCAGATAAGGGCATCATGTGTCAATTTTGTTATTTTTTTCTAGTATTAAGACGTACATTGTATTTCACCGATTCGAACGATAAAAATGTTAAAAATGGATTATGTATGAACTGCAAAGATTAATAGTTATTAATTTTCTTCCCATACACGTATTGGTCCATTGATGTTAACCTTTATTTAAATCAAAAATATCGCTTGTGTTAAGCAAAGACATTCAACGAATACAACTGGAAATACACATACTTTTCACAATGTTTTGCCATGAGTATAAATTTTAGTTGAAATAAATCAATCGAAATCGCTGTACCATAAAATTACTGTACTATTGTACTTATTTCAATACGATTTAAACTAGATTGTACAACATGAACAGGTCCCTGCAGCAGTGCTAGTTACGTTCACGGAAAAAGGCGGTTTAAAACTGCTACCCTCTTCTTAAATTTCACCACGTTTTGGATCAAATACAGGCAGCAACCTTGCTTCAGATTGGCAAATGCCACATTTCCGTACAAATATTGGAACACAGCCAAGCCACTGTGGCATTCTACTGCATGTTCCATGCTGTATGAAAGTGTCGTTGACATTGATAGTACTAGTTTGCCAGTACTTCTGATGTCTGATAAATATACGTTGTCAGCATGTGTTTCAGTAAGGAGATATAAAGCGTGATTGAGTAGATCTCCGTCGTTTTAGATTGTGGACAGCCCTATGTCATTGTATTAGCCGTTGACAGCAATGTGTCAAAGGTTTCATTCATTTGCAGAATTAAACAACGGTTTGCGTTACTGTCAATGGCAACCATTTGTCATTTTCCCAAACACCCGGTGTCATCTGTTATTTTCAGCAGCCAATTCATTATATGTTACCGCTATTTTACCATTGGCCCAAACTGAATCCATTGCAACACTTATTCCAAGCTGATTGTTCTCTGGCATTTCTATTTACTTCCCATTATCAATAACGAGTCAATATTTGCAGTCATTTTCACTCATTTGTTATTATTGGCAGTCATTTGACCAAATCGGTACAGTCATGCAGTCTACACATGCAGTCGCTAGTACCATGCATCATGCAAGCTGTCATTGACATTCATGCTTCTGATGTGATCGCGTTCAATTGTTGGATGAGTGGTGATATTTGCAGCCGCAGTCATTCTTCCTTAAACCTGTGCGAACGTTCAAAGATGTATGGATGCTTGCAATCATTTAACAGATGTGAATGCACTATTTTAGTACTGACACATATTTTCTGAGCGTTCTGGGCCTAGATTTTCGAAGCTCTCTTAGCGCTAAGATAGTCGTAAGTTAATGTTATTGTATGGCACTTAGCGCTAAGAGAGCTTCGCAAATCTAGGCCCTGGTTTAGAGGTAGTCATACGTGGGTACCACATGCGGTCATGTCACCAAACATTCTGTGTCAACGTATCCCGAGAGTATGTGCGGTCGCTCACAATATCAATCACTGGTTGTCTTGGTTGTTACAGGCAGATGTCATTTAGCGGGAATATTGTCTGTGTCGCAGAAGATCAAACAACAATCAAACACAGCTAGAAATAAAAGTTGTGTGACAAAATATCTGAATATGATATCTGGTTATCTGTTTACAAAGCTGTTGAATTACAATCATGTGTAGCATATTGCCCACAAGCCCTGATATCTTATCAACAAGCTAGAATGACTCGAAATGCACTGAACATGGCTGAAATGTGATGAATGTGTCAGGCCCATGTCTGACTGCGTGGAAGCAGCGACAGTTAATTAGGTCACACCATTTTTGCTTTTGTCATTAGGCTTTTCAGTAATCAACAAGACCATACCAGGCTGTCAACACAACAGTCCAACACGCGTGAGGTGCCACTCTCTTAGTGCAGATAGTGCCTCAGTTCCTGCGCTGGTGTGGTCATTACCCAACATCAACGCCAAATCAGCGATGTCATCAGAGCTGTATATTTAACTAAACAAATCGGGAGCAAGGAAATGGGTTCATGATTAGCGAATCTGGAACAGCCAGATGATGAGGCAGTTCTTTATTACCTCAAGTTCAAGTCTGCTTTGCTCAGTCATCTACGGCGTCATGAAAACATCTGCTGTGTAGAGTTGCGTCCCTTATTCATTCAAGGATCCTATGACCACGGGTCGCCCAAGATTCATTCTTGTGTTCTGAGAAGCATGCTCTTGATCATGGATACGACCACAGATGTAAACGTGAAATACACACATTGCCCCAGGAGCCATCCCACTTGAAACTGATGAAGAAATGCATCATGGCAGAGAAAGAAAAATAATACAACTCAATAAATTTACGCTTTGCCAAAGGTGTGGGGACAGACACATATTTCAATGTGCATGATATTTATTTTCAATCTGTTTCAATACAATTTGAATTAGTTCCAGAACGTCACGTAAATGTCAATAGAAAAATCAACGTTTCAAGAAGATCAATTCATAGCATTTTAGATAGCACTGAAACTATTGCGTTGCTTCCACTATCTCCCGATCTGATTAATCACCATATTCATTTTGAATGTCAAAGTATACGATAATAACGATATACGATATCCATTGATTGGCACATGACCATGATTAAAACACGAAACCTAATGGACAGTAATGCATCTGCCAACAGAAAATGATTTCCCGCTAAGAGGGATGTCATAACAAGCATTTGGGAAAGCTGAGCATCTCACGATTGTCCACGAGTATCTACCGAGCGGTTTATACCTCTGGAAAAACACTGATTATATTTGACAAACTTGTTATTGTGAAGATGAGAGTTTATCTGACCGCGTTTTACCGTTTCTTACTATTGATACCCAAAGCA